AACCATCATGTAGTTCTTAATAGTTGCTATGACCATGAAGTAATGCAATTGGCCTTGATAAGAAATACAGTTACTACTTTATCCTTAAACCACGTGATTTGCATCCCTAAGTAAAATAAGTTCCTTAAAAACAAGGATCAAGCTTATTAATCTTTTTCCCCTTTCACTACATGACCCCACCTTCCTATACCACCGGCATTAGCCCAGAATATCTATTCAGTATCTGTCAACTGACTGATATAAATAGGTACGATCAGAATTGGTAAGGTTAAAGAAACTGCTCGTAAACATGAACCACTAACCAACCAACCAAAGTCAACCTCTCTATGCTTGTGTTTTTAACTATAAAATGCAGATAACAATGCCTACTTCAAGGGGCTAGTCTAAGTATGTATTATGTTCATTATTATTTCCCTCAACTCTTGATATAGCAGTAGGACTTACAATGTACTGAAAGGCATTTTGGAGCCTTAACATGTCCAAAATGACTTGACTTCCACCTCCTCAAACTTGTTCCTTCCTGGTCACTGCACTACCATCTGCTCAATTATTCAAACCAAGAATTTAAAAATCATCCCCTATTCCTCTCTTCTTTACTTTTATATTCAACCCTTCGTTCCTGTCAGCTCTACCTCTAACATTTATCTTGCATCCATTCATTTCTCCCTTCCACAGTTATCGCCTAGTCAAAACCATCATCTCTTTCCTGGGCTACTAAGCAGTAACTTGACTGGTTTCCCTACTTCCCATTCTTAATGTAGCTGCTTGAATGATTAAAAAGAAATAAATTAGTTAGATCATGTCACCTTCCTGTGTTAAAATGGATTCCCCTGACTTTAAAATCTAAATGCTTTATAAAAGCCTCCGCTTACCACCCCCCTGGCTCGCCCCCGCAACCCCTGCCTCTTCTTCTATCACTTTTTTCTCTAGTTCATGTCACTGGAGTCCAACTGGTTTTCTGTCCCTTCCAAGCTTTTTTTCATATGGGGGCTTCTGATCTCACTTCCTGTATTTAGAATCGTCTTTCCCTCTCATTCGTACATGGCTGGCCCTTTTTCTATGCTTACCTTCTAGCTCAAATGTTACCTACTCAGGGCTTACCTGATCACTCTAGCTAAAGTAGTTGCGCCTCCTCATTTCTTTATTACGTTTTCTCCTTGTAGCACTAACCACTATCTGCTATCCTATTTACTCTGTGCCTGCTCCACTGACATGTAAACTTCAAAAACGCAAGGACCTTGTCAGTCTTGTTCACAGCTGTATCGTCAGCATTTAGAACAGTGCTTGGTAGATAGTAGGTGCTCAAAAAAATAATTTTTTGAATGAAAGAATCTGGTTCAAGTCTAATCACTTCAAACAGCTGAAGAAACGCCAGAAGCCGTGAGGTGGGTAACATGCCCCAAACCAACATCAAGTTTGTAGCAGATCTGAAGCTAAAACCGTAGGTCCACAGGGATGTTAAATCGGCACTCTTGAGTTCCAAACTCAAACTATGGATCATTTTTAGAGAGCCATAATCCAGTGTCAGGGACAGAGACCGGATATGACGTGAAAGACGGTCATGGGGATGCATTCTCTTCCCATCCCCAATCCATCCGAAGAATTCACATCATCATCCCTTTGGTTGTGAATGCTCAAAGGCCTTTCAATTTAGAGCTCTAAGGTGCTGGCACTCGTTGCCTAGGTTACCTTGCACCGCTGCCGGCCGGCTTAGAACCATGCCCATCACCCCCTCGTTATGATCTGATTGGCTGACTTCGGCCAGGCCTAGTACTCACCTGGCAGTTCCCGCATTAGGTAGAAGGGACCACAACCAGCTGCTTTGTCTGCGCCGGGAGGGGCGGTGACCGCGATGGGGGGCGGAGCTGTGCCGGGTCCCCCGCCTGGAGGAGGGGGAGGCGGAGGTGGAGGTTTTCCTGGTCCGAAGCCGAGTGCAGTTGGGGGCGGCGGTGGGTCAGCCTGAGCTCCGAACAGCGCCGTGAAATTCTCCATTTTCCCCTCTGTCCCGGTGTCTGGCGCTAGTGATTTTCATTGGACAATCCTTTCACGGCGTACCGTCCTTTTCCTCCCTGAGCCACTTATCATTGGATGCTTCGGGACCCGCCTACCTTTTCCCGGCAACTACTTCCGTCGCTTTATGAGCACGTTCAGAAAGTGCTATCTAACCTTATTAAAATCTTTGTTGTCGCCGCCAGCCACAGTCGCATATCCAATAAAATGACTTAGGTGGGAAAAAGCGACAGCGAGATTGACGAATAAAGCATCAAGTCCCTTTTCCAGTTCCTCCCTATCGCGGCGCCCAATCAGAGACCTACCTCTGGGTCCGGAGGCGGTGCATCCGAGGCTAGGCCCAATGGAAGGCTGAATGGCGGGAGAGGCGGGGCCAGACCCCCCGACGCCGGAGAGCGGCGAGCGCCCGCGGGCCCAGAAGATGGCGGTCCTGGCACCCTTAATTGCTCTGGTGTATTCGGTGCCGCGACTTTCACGATGGCTGGCCCGACCTTACTATCTTCTGTCAGCCCTGCTGTCTGCTGCCTTCCTACTCGTGAGGAAGCTGCCCCCGCTCTGCCACACTCTCCCTACGCAACGCGAAGACGGCAACCCGTGTGACTTTGACTGGGTGAGCGACCCCCGCCTCGGGACCCCGCGACCTTGACTGCCCTTTCCCTCGCGGTTGCATCAGGGGGCCCCGAGGTTCACCTTTTTGAGAACACCTGAGGTTCCGAGCCTGTTGCGAATTTGCCATTAGAGTATAGGGCCTGGACCGTCATCGATGGCAAAACAGCAAGTTAGCCTCCTGCACATCAGCCTGGGCCTTCTGACGCTTGAGTCCAGGATTCTTTCCATCTTACTATTCATATTCGTCAACAGCCCTGCCCAAATGCTACACGCGCAGGTACGGTGTTTTACTGTGCTCTCATATGGAGCCAGAGAGGTAATCAAGACAAATAGGAGTATTCCCGTCTTATTGGTGAAGAAATGATCTCTGCGTGATTAGGAGACTTGTCCAAGGTCACAACCAGTGAGTAACTGGGATTTGAAACCACTCTTCCGGTCATAGTACCTGCACACTCTTATCACCCATTTCTTAATTCAGTTAACACTAACAGAGTGCACGCTGTATGCTAGGCACTATGCTGCATCCTGAGGGTGCAAAAATGAATGAAACTAACAGGCTTATTGAAAAGGAATCATAAAAATTACATCGCAAAGAAACCTATCCCAAGCCTCTTGCTGTATTTCCTAAGTAGGAGTGGAGAGACCACTCAGGCAGATAAGCTGACGTCCTAGGCCCTTTGCTCTATAGCACATCTGTGTTCTGAGAAAGGGTCAGCCTCAGTTTTCGTCTTTTTTTCCAGTCCCAAAATGAGTCTTGACCTTTACTAGAATCCACTTCCTTACTTTTATCCTCCACCCCTTGTTTACTCTTTCATACTTCCCCGTCCTTTCCCAGACAGTGTTATTAATTAGCTGAAATGTCGCCCTGCTACATCAAAAGATCTGATGTGCTATACCACTTTAACCAAAATGGAACTCAAAAATATAAGTGGATAGTAATGAAGATTTGAATAAGGGTAGGGACATTTAATATAATTAATTTCTCTGTGTACTCTTGTCTAATAATATGCAAAATACTGGGAGGTTTTATATTTTATTATTACTGATAGAATTCTTTTTAACTTCAGATGGTCCCTGACTTAAGATAGTTTAACTTACAATTTTTCAACTAGGATCTAGGTGTGAAAGCAATATACATTCAGTAGAAACCATACATCAAATTTTGGACTTTGATTTTTTTCTGAGCTAGCAACGTGTGTTACGGTACTCGTGATTCTGGGCAGTGGCAGTGAGCCACAGCTCCCGGTGAGCGACAGCTCCCAGTCAGCCGCACCATCAAGAGGGTGAACAACATATTCCACAGCGCAGTGTTAAATACCTTTTCACCTTACGATATTTTCAACTTTAATGATGGGTTTATCAGGTTCATTGTTGAGTCGTAGAGCATCTCTGTTTAGGGTTCATAGCCAGTGTTTTCCTGGAAAATCTGTTTTACTGATTTAACTCGATGATTGGGAAGTTATGATAGTAAGGTAAATAAGGCTAGCAATAACAGGTAAATCTCAAGTTTTCAGTGGTTTAGAAGAATAAAAGTTTATTTCTATTTGCTTAAATAAAGGAAAGAATCAAGCATTTTGTTTTTCCTTTCATAACCAAATGATAAGGGAATCAAGCATAACCAAATGATAAGGGAATATTGATTTCCTAATAGAAGAATTTGTACTAATAAATACAGAAGGAATGATCAAATTTAAAAATCATTTAGCAATCTCTAACGAAATAATAACTCTGTGCACTGATCATCTGTAGATGCTAAAACCATCAGAGGAAAAGTTGATATGTCCTCTGAAGGGATGCAGTAGAGAGTATCTAGCACCACTTGTGATGTCTTTTTGGCAAAAGATTTGAATTTCATTGTATTCAAACCTCTAAATTTCATTATTACTTTACAACAAATATGGAAGATAGAAGATCATCATCAGACAAATACCATGGGTATGCAAACAGCCAAATCCAGAAAGTGGGAAAGTTGGCAGTAACAACCAACTCAATTTCTTCAACAGATAAATAGCTTGGAGTGAAAAGGAAGAACAGGTATCTTTTAGAGTTAGAGATTAAGGAAGACCAAAGAATCACATCAGCCAAAGGCAGTGTGTGGATCTCGCTTGCTTGGTCCTGATTTGTACAAATAACAATGCAAAGGAAATTTGAGATAATTGAGATTTTTAAAATAAGGGCAAAGTATTAGATGACATTAAAGAATTATTAATTGTGTTAGCTGTGATAATGGTATTTTGGTTTGTTAGAAAAAGAAGTCCGTATTTGTAAGAGATACACACTGAAGTATTTACAGGTGAAATGATACAGTTGGAATTTGCTTTAAGTTTCTCCAACAAAAAATTGGGTAGCATAGATGAAATGGAACCATTTTGGCAAAATGTTACTGTTGAATCTGAGTAATAGGAGTCCCTTTAGGTATTGTAAGGGAGGAAAAATAACTTTCTCTCTATCCTTCTGAGGTCTCAGCTGAGACTGCCGTAATAAAAGACAGATTAAAGACAGAAGACATAGAAGTCTGTTAACATGTATACCTCAGGTATACATGGGAGATACCCAGGGGAAAATGAGTAACTCAAAGAAGCGGCTTAGCCCTCTGGCTTATATAGCATCTTCAACAAAGAACAATAAATTTGTGGAGAAATGACTGGACAAAGGACAACAGTTTTAGGCTTCCAAGGGCAGCAGACTGTGGGAAGGTAAACTAATGGTAGATGAAGGCTAGTTCGTTATATAGATTCCTCTAGTGCAGTCTTCAGGCTGATAGAGTCTAAAGTTATCTCACTTGATTAACTTTTGTCTTCCTGGTACAGAGGGTTGAAAGGACACTTTTGAAATTTTATGTCCTGCTTTTAGACAGAAAAGGGCAGGGAGCTTTTCTTATATCTACTTCTCAATTGCCTTCAGGCTTAAAATAATCCTGAAGTACCATATTTTGGGGTGGCATATTCTGCTTCCCTTCAGTATCCTCCCTTGTGTATGTTTGAAAATTTCCATTTAAAAAAGTTTAAAAGCAATGAATAAACAGGCAGAACAACCAAAGGGACTCTGCTTCATATAGTTATTCTGGAACCCAGGCTCACACTGTCTTCACCTTCTAGCCTTAAGATCATCTCAGTATCATCTAGCCAGCAGATGAAGAAAGAAAGCTGGAATGCAAGGCCATACCCTTTCTTATTGTGAGGATACAGAAGTGGCACATCACTTCCACTCACAATCCATTCAGGAGTGCTAGTCACACAGTTCTGCCTAGATGCTACTGAGAGTCTAGCTGCAGTATGCCTAGGAAGAAAAGGAAATAAGGTTTGAAGTATACATAGCCAGTCTTCACCATAGATCGATTCTGTATCTTTAGAGAATATTTCTTTTTAGTGTTGTCTTTGGTCTCCTGTTTGACCACAGTTCACTTTTTAAATTCCTTTTTCCGTAGTTGGAAATCCCAATTCTAACCCAATTTCATTTGTGAAAACTAATTTTGCTCAGGTATATTTAGGAAAGTCTGTCATTTTTTCTAACCCCCACCTTACATGTCCATTTCTAAATCCAGTCAGTTACTCTTTGTTGAAGACTAAGGCTAAAAACCTAGGTCCCTGACTCCTAATTGTGAATCACAGTTGATTGGTTCTGTCTGAAATAATGATTTGGACCCCTGTATTATAAACAGAAAGGTATGGAAGGCCTCAACCACCCAATCTATAGTTGCCCTCCTCCCATGCTTTCTTTCACATGGTCCTTGTTATTCTTCATTGCAGTCTTTACTCTTTAAAATTATTCTTTCTGGACGTGGTTCCATAGCGTAGCGGTTAGCTCGTCTGCTTACACACAGAAGGTCCTGAGTTCACGCCTCAGTGGAGCTACGGTCCATGGCCTATGCCCATGCCACCCTGAACAAGCCTGATGTCTGATCTCGGAAGCTAAGCAGGGTTGGTCCTGGTTAGTACTTAGATGGGAGACCACCTAGGAAGACCAGGTGCTGTAGACATAAATAATAATAAAAAAATAGTAATAAAGTTATCCTTTCCTTGTCTTGTTTATTGTCTATCTCACTTTGCTCCAGTTGAGTTTACATTCTAGAATGTGAGAAAGAACTCTAAGCCAAGGGTACTGGAAAGGGCCTTTGAGATCTCTGAAAGGCCTCCTTAAGCTCTCAGATTATATTGAAGGTACATGGATTATCACTATGATATTTGGTGAAGAGGAATGATCTCAGTAAACCCAAATAGAATAACCATATATTATATTAATGGAATATTACTGAGAAAGTTTCCCTGGAAGTTTTATTTTACCAGGATCAGACTGAGTTGGTTGCAATATCTCACACTTTTACACCATTCATACTTTATACAACTCTTTTATGCCTATTATCATTTAATCGTCACAATAGCATTTTGAAATAGGAAACCAAAGCTCAGTGGTTAAGTGATTTGCTGGAAGGCATCAGCCATTTTGTGGCAGGGGCAGAACCTGAACCCAGATCTTTCTGGCTGGTGATTTTCCCTCTACGCCACAGCTAACTCCAGTTCTTTCTTTATTGTTACCATTTCCAGTTTGGATCTCTGCTGCTTTTTAGCTCCCTTACCTAACCACATCATCTCTGTTGACAGCATTCCTGTCACTTTGATTCTGTTCCAGAGAGAAGTAGAGATCCTGATGTTTCTCAGTGCCATTGTGATGATGAAGAACCGCAGATCCAGTGAGTTTAGCCTGCTGCTCAGTCTCCCACGGGTGGGACTGACGCCCTCCAGAGGTGCTTTCATTCATGTTATGAGAGGGGTATTATTTGGCGAACTACTTTCTCATTCCACGCCAAGGCTGAATTTGATCTTAGACTTTTGTTCCCTCCCCCTCTCCAATTTCAAAGTACCCCAGGAAGAAAGACAAAGAATGGGATATAGGAGCATGCCGCCCAACCTGACCTGTGACATCTTTGTGTTTCAGTCACTGTGGAGCAACATATAGGCAACATCTTCATGTTTAGTAAAGTGGCCAATGTACTTCTTTTCTTCCGCCTGGATATCCGCATGGGCCTGCTTTACATCACACTCTGCATAGGTAAGGAAACTACAGACTCGGTTGTGGGAACCCAATTGCAATCCTCAACCAGTTTCTTCGTACCCTTCTTCCATATCTTGTACCTAATTATGTGTGTGGCCCAGACGATAAGAATCTATGGAAACTATTTTAAGAGGAAGGGAATGTATCGGTGGTCTGTGTATGTCCACAAAGTGTATTCTTTGGTGCTTGAAATCTCCGGATTGGTTTGAAAGTAAATCCCCTCCCCAAGGCCTTATATATGGTTCCAATGACATCTTTTTTCTGTGTTCAGTGTTCCTGATGACATGCAAACCTCCCCTGTACATGGGCCCTGAGTACATCAAGTACTTCAGTGATAAAACCATTGATGTGAGTGTTCGTCCTCCCTTCTGTTTCTTGGGTCCCTGGTGGGTAATTTTGTAATTGTGCTCTGTACACACCGGGAGCAACTGCTTCAGAATGGAAGTCAAGGGCACTGCGGATTTTCATGGAGCTAGGGGAGGCGGACAGGGGAAGCGGGATGAGGAATTAGATGCTAAGGCCTGAACCTTTCCAGAAACCTGTGTGATCCAGCTCACTGTTTCTTCCCTGTGTGTGGCAGGAAGAGCTGGAGCGGGACAAGAGGGTCACGTGGATAGTGGAATTCTTTGCCAATTGGTCCAGTGACTGCCAATCATTTGCTCCAATCTACGCTGACCTCTCCCTCAAGTGAGTAGTGCAGAGGGAGGCATGGTGGAAATTGCAATGCTGCATCTTCCCTCTCATTGTTTTTGGCCTTGATTTTTGCACATTACAACCAAAGGCATCCCCCACCCCCTCTAATAGCTGTACTTTCTCTTCTTCTCTTCCCTTGATCCAGTCTCTTCTTTGACTATGTGTAATAATATGTTCTCAGGTACAACTGTACGGGGCTAAATTTTGGGAAGGTGGACGTTGGACGCTACACTGATGTTAGTACACGGTACGTAAGGGCTTAGGCAGAAGGTATAAGCAGAGATTCACTTTGAGTGGTGTTTACAGGTGTATTTACAAAGTATTTTCTGGGCCCTGTAGGTACAAAGTGAGCACATCACCCCTCACCAAGCAGCTTCCTACCCTGATCCTGTTCCAAGGTGGCAAGGAGGTCATGCGGCGGCCACAGATTGACAAGAAAGGACGAGCTGTCTCTTGGACTTTCTCTGAGGTATAGGAGTGGGCCCATGGTTTGGAGAAGGGTGTGGAGCCCAACCTGGGTTTGATTCCTAGCTCTGCCACTTGACTACAAGCCTTGAGAGTGTGGACTAGTTATTAGACCTCATTCCTGAATTCACTCAGCAGATTTATATTATGCTTCTATCATGTGCCAGACCTGCGAGTACTGGGGAACAGTTAGTTGTTAAGATTCAGTGTCAAAGGCCCTTGTACCAGTCGTCTGTAGGCCTGAGGTTCCTTAGTAATAAATTGGAGACAGTAACTCTTGGCTCGCAGGGTTGTTTTGCAGATTACATTAAATATGTAGCTGTAATTCTTGGCACAGTGATAGGTACTTAAATATTAGTTGACTTTTCCAAGTGCCCAAAAATGGGTTTGTTCCTAGCTCTGCCACTTGCCTACAAGCCTTGAGAGTGTGGACTAGTTATTAGACCTCATTCCTGAATTCACTCAGCAGATTTATATTATGCTTCTATCATGTGCCAGACCTGCGAGTACTGGGGAACAGTTGTTAAGATTCAGTGTCAAAGGCCCTTGTACCAGTCGTCTGTAGGCCTGAGGTTCCTTAGTAATAAATTGGAGACAGTAACTCTTGGCTCGCAGGGTTGTTTTGCAGATTACATTAAATATGTAGCTGTAATTCTTGGCACAGTGATAGGTACTTAAATATTAGTTGACTTTTCCAAGTGCCCAAAAAAGAGATTTAAGTTAGAGTAGATATCTGTCCTTTGCTTCCTCCTTTCCTAGACTGCTTCTAAATACCTCTTACTTCCCAGGCTCTGAAGTCTCCTTTCCAACCTGAACCCTGTTGTGTGCATCTGTTTTGTGCAGGAGAACGTGATCCGAGAATTCAGCTTGAATGAGCTGTATCAACGGGCCAAGAAGCTATCGAAGGCTGGAGATAGTATTCCTGAGGAGCAGCCTGTGGCTCCAACCCCCACAGCAGTGCCAGAAGGGGAAAGCAAGAAGAACAAATAGGTTCCCTGCCTTGCTAGTTAGTGCCTCTCGATGATCCCAGGCACCTCTGAGACCCGGCCCCTTCTGTAACCACAAGCCTTGCCTGAGGCCTTGGCCTTTATTTATATTTTCCCTGTTGGCTGTGCCTAGGTGGGGTTGGGTGCTGCTTCTCATTTTAAAGAAGCATCCAGGGAATTAACAGGCACCCTCCGAGAAGGCCTCCACTGCTGTGGCCAACTGTTTCACTGGAGGAAGAGGGAGAGCTCATGTGATGGTGAGGAAATGCTTTCCCCTCCAAGCTTGCATCAGTGTGTTGAGTGCTGCCCACCACTCATCTCCATCGCGCTGTGGTTTCATTATTCCTTTGTGGACCTACACAGACTACTTAAATTAGGTTAAACCTTAACATAAGATGCCAGGGTACAGAGTCAGCACTAGGATTTTCCCGTCAAGGACCTTTACTTCTTTAGGCCCGTTTGGGTGGTCTGTGGCCTTCATTAAAAAGTATAAACCTATTTTGTCGCTGGTCCCAAGGAGAAGCCTTTAAACACAAAGTTTTCTCATTGAAGACAGTATTGAATCTATTTTATAGAGGTTGGGAGGAAGGGAAATAGAAGTTTGAGACCTTCCTTTGTGTGGTGGGCCTGGAGGAGACGCTTCTGGGCAGAATTGGGGTTTCACTTAACCCTTGTACTGATTCTCCTCACACCCAGTTGCTAGTTTTCCATAATAAAGAGACTAGGATTTCCTTTTGATTGTGTCTTCTCGAGTTACTTGTGTGTTAAAAAGCCAGGCAACTGCAGAGGCATTGCCTACCTCCAACTTCACTCCAAAAGCCATTCTGATTAGTTTGATCAAACGTCAGGCGACAGTCCTTCGGACTAGGGGAGTCACGGAAGGCTGGTTTCCGCAAACCAGAGTACCAAGCGCTCCGAGTTAGACTGTAGACTTGGTGCCAGGGAGGTTTTGAGGGCTGGTGGGGGTCGAGTTCACTCGGTTTGGCCAGAGGCGCGGTTACAGAAAAACCGAGCTACTCTAGGCCCCGCCCCTGCTGTGCTCGCCCACCCCTACCCCCAAGCACCGGTGGTTTGGTCTTGTTCAGGTACCGTACCTCCCCCCACTCTGCGCGCAGAGTGGCTGTGCCTGGAGGGCCCGCCTCCCGACCACGTGTGCGCCTGCGCCTCTTTCCTCCGCTTGGTAGAGGTTTTGTTCTGCGAGCGGAGTGCTTTGGCCTGCCGTTTGGAGCTCGGAGAGGGGCCGTCCAGTGTCGCGTGGCCGCTCAGTTGGCCGCGTCTTCACCCTATTCCCACCCCAGGTCGGCTCAGTTCCCGGCCGGGCTCCAGGTGCCATGGCTCCCGGCGGGAGGAAGCGGAAGGCCGAGGCGGCGGGGGTCGCGGTGGCCGAGAAGCGGGAGAAGCTGGCTGGCGGCCAGAAGGGAGTGGAGGTGGCGACCGTCGTTATCGAGCATTGGTGAGGGACCTGGAGAGTCACGGAGGGGGTGGGCAGGGCATTGCAGGCCCAGGGCCCCATCTCTGATGCTTCCCGTCTCTCCATAGCACGAGTTGACGCGTCTACGGGCGCAACGCTGCGGCCCTGAGCCAGGCGCTGCGCCTGGAGGCCCCGGAGCTTCCAGTGGAGGTGAACCCTGCCAAGCCCCGGAGGGGCAGCTTCGAGGTGACGCTGCTGCGCCCGGACGGCAGCAGTGAGTGGGGGCGCGGGTTTGGGGGACGAGGGCAGGGGTCCGAGGCGGGAAAGGGCTGGTCTCAGAAGCCCCTGGGAGAGATAATAACTCCATTTGGTCTTTTCCCAGGTGCGGAGCTCTGGACTGGGATTAAGAAGGGGCCCCCACGCAAACTCAAGTTCCCTGACCCGCAGGAGGTGGTGGAGGAGCTGAAGAAGCACCTTTCGTAGGGAGGTTGGGCAGCACGCCTCAAGCTGAGGTATGGGGCCGGGGGCTAGGGGAGGGGTTTGGTTCATCTTGTGGCTCTTCGTGAAGCAGCCCTTACTGTTGTCCCGCCTTTCACACAGGGGCTACAATTTTTTTCATGACTTTTTCCTCAGTATTTCCTCTATTGGGAATACCTCTTCTCCTTTTTACTGGTAGAAATAACTGAAATCGGCAAAAAAAAAAAAAAAGTTTTCTACCTAGTGTGCCCTTTGCTGATGTTTCATTTCACGATCTTTGAGCCAAGTCGTAGAACTGATAGAAGTGTAAATGATTTATAGAAACGCAATTTTTGTCCTTTGAAGATGTAGTTAATTGTTACCCTGAAGGAATGGACCAGTTTTGTATTTTTGTTAAAAAATTCATTTTCCACATCCCTGATATGTTTTGATTCTTTGAAGTGGTAAATTCCTCTAGTTCCCTCCTTTATGAGTTAAATAAAATCATTGACACGTTTTTTTATTTGCATGGGTCGTGATTTCCCCCTTTTTATTGGCAAAATCTTTGTGTAATTTCGGGTATGCTTATGCTTACCCCCTTGTTTTTTGTTCCTAGTATGGTTTGTTAATAGCCTAGTCCCATGTGCCCATGTGGTAACACTGTCTTACAGTCCTCTCCCCCCTAGTCCCATGGATTTGACCTTGTCTTTATCCATAGTCCTTCATACAGTGCTTTGACATGTGGTCAGGCACCTGACATGTTGAGATGTGGGAGAAGGATGCAGTCCTTCCTTGAGCTCTGCAGTCTGTGGGTTCAAGGGTTAGGGGCATGTCTTCCTCAGGCTATATGATTGCCTGGATCCCTTCTCTAACCCTTTTTCCCCTTATTTTCACAGCCATCGTACCTGGTGATGTTGGAGCATTTATGATGGGACATGGCTAAACTTCAGTCATGTGCCTGAAGCTATGGTTTCTTCTCCAGAAATGATGGTTAAGTTGTGAGGCAACCCTCTAGTAAGGCATTGAAAAGTTTTTGGATTTGATTTGTTTAATAAAAGTTGAAATAAAGTATTTGTGTAATAAAGTAAAAGTTAATCTTATGGTAAGGGATGGACAAAAGCCAGCCTTACAGGATTGGTCACCCCCCTCCCCTTTTTTTTCATAGCCTAAGGTCACCAATTAACCAAGAAATCCTAGGGTCTCTGGTAGAGCATGTGAAATACTTGTAAAAACTATGGGGGAAAAGCAAATAATTTATTTTTTAAAAGCAACTTATTTTTTCAACTCACTTCTTAGAAGTGATGATGGAAGTACCTGTTCCTGGCCCCTGCAGAGGTTTTGGCTAGACTTCCATACTGGCAATGGATAAGCCCCACACATAGGTGCTAGACAACATCCTGTCACTCCCTCCCACTTTGTTCCACCCCAGCACTGCTTCACACCTTCTGGAACATTTATTTTCTCTTGCATAGAATCTTACCACATAACCTGCCTCATAACCTGGGAGAGACCTGGCCTTGGCTATTTATGACCCATTAAAATTGGGGACCATGCAATTTATTGTTTCATTTGTTTGTCAATAACTGGAAAATAGATTATAGGAAATAAGATGGTTCAAGTTCATAATTTTCTACCCATCGTACTTATGCCTGGCTCCCAAAACCTAGGGAGGGGAAGACAGGACATGTGCTAACCTCTCTGCCAATATTCCTTTTGCTAGCCAACACTTCCTATCCTCCCAGTGCCCTAAACTGCCTTTCCCACTGCACTACGTTAGTATGTCTACCTCTGTTTCTGACTCTGAGGAAGGGTCAGGCCACACGGAGGGAATACTGGTGGGCACCAGCCTCCCCTCTGATGTCCAGTCTACCACATCAATCTCTTCCTCTTCAGGGCTGGCAGGAAGTGGGTCCAGCTGCTCAGAGTTGCTACATGCCTCCTTGCCTGTTTCTGGAGGAGAGTATACCACTTCATCTGTAGTTAGGGACGCTTCTAGCCCAGTCTCCCCCCAGTTTGAACATGGAGGTGAGAGGTCTCCATAGGACCTTTGGGGAGGGTCAAAGGAGTCAATGTGGAGAAGTTTGTCTCTCTGATCATCCAGTGGCTGGGAGCTGGTAATTTCTAGGTCTTGAGTCCAAGAGCCTCCTACTGAAAGCACCTCCCCTTCACTCATCTCAGAGGGTATGACAAGGGGGCTAAGGGGCTCAACAGGCTCTTTGTTTGCAGAGGACATGACAAGGGGACTAAAGGGTTCAGCTGGCTCTTTGTTCTCACCAACAGGTTCCTTTTCCAATCCTGTGAACTCCCTGGGCCAGAGTTCCATGTCTGGTAAATACCATTCTTCTCCTTCGATCCAGTTCTTTCCTGTTTCTGTCAGGTGATAACTAGGGGTCCTACAGCCCTCAGCCCCAGGACTCTCCAGAGATCCTGTAGGCGGCTCAATATCTGAGCCACACAACATGAAGTCCAGGATCTCCTCCAGCTCACTGGTGGCAGCAGCACTTGTGATTCGGTACTCCTCAGCTTCACAGGGCTGCCCAAGCAGGGATGTGTCAAATGCATACGGCTCTGTGCAGTCAATATCAAACTCAGGTTCCTTCCCTACCAGCTCTGGACTGGACTCAAACTCAGACTTCACCACTGGGGGGTCTGGGGAGCGGCTAGCAGAAAGCAGAATGTCTTGTAGCCTAGAGCACACCGGGGAGTCCTGACACACATCTATTCTCGCAGATGACATTTCCTGCTGGTTAACTGAGGATGGCTGAGTCCCTGGGGGTTCTTCTGAGTCTCCAGGTTCTGGGATATGAGGACTGTCTGGAGAGTTTTTGAGGGGAGGCTCCTGCACCACCTCCCAGCAGGTCCCGTTGACAATCTTCCGAAGTTTTACTCTCCCAACCTGTCCCTCCTCTGCAGAGTCCGAATTAGGTGCCCTGGCTTCGGGGCTCCGCTTCTTAATCCCACCTGTCTTTCCAAGACCAGATGGGCTTGGGGTGCTCTCTAGAGGACTAGTTCTCCCTGGTTTCTGCTTGTCCTCTGGTGCTTCTTTATTTATACTCTTTTGTCGCCAGAGACGCCGGCCAGGGGCTGTGGGCACTGAGCTGGGCCCACTTAAAATACTGGGAGGCTTGGATGTACAGACATCAGGAGATGGCTTTGAACGACTCAGCCGGATCTTTCTGGGCAACAGTCGCTCATCCATAGAGGGGTACAGGCTTGCGGGGGAAAGTGCTGTAGGACCAAGGGCAGGGTCACTCTTATTCTCTTTAGGCCCCTGACTGTGGCTTGATGGTGAAGAGCTTTTTTCTTGTGGAGCTGGGCAGGCTCTGGCCTTCCTCTTGAGCAGAAGAGTGTCTGACAAGTTCTCTGCATTCTGTCGGTTGCTCTTGTCCTGGGCCCCCTCCTCCATCCCCAGTGACTTCAATCTCACTGCCCCAAGAGAACAGGGAGTCTGGGTAATAGGCAGTGGAGTTCGAGGACGGCGGCTGGATGCCACCACCCTGGCAGAGATGGGTGCAGCACTTGGAGGCTGTAAGCACTCCCTGTTGAGTCTTCTGCCCTGAGGGGCTTTCACCAACTTCCCACCCTCTAGCTGAAGGGATTCTAGTTCAGATACTCGGAGCTGACGGGCAGCAGAAAGCACATCCTGGGCTTCTTCTCGAGATACTTCCATCTCTGAGGTATACAGGAAGTCTACCAGCTTCCTAAGTGTCCTGATCTTCAGGCCTCCCAGCTCCAGCACCACCTTACGACCCTGAGCTGGCCTCTCCCGTTCCAGGCGCTCTGTGAAGAAGGGGCTACAGGCAGACAGGATGCAGCAATGGGCTGGGACTGCCTCACCTGGGGGGGAAACCCACTTTGTTATTTCATGCAGACTGGAATGTTCATGAGCTAAGCATAGATATTACTACCCATTCCTTATTCCCTAAAACCTCTCGTTTCTTATATTAGAGTAAGGTATCACACCCAGTTGCCCAAGCTTGAGCACTAGAAGTCATCTTTGATTCTCTCTTACCCACTGCATTAATTTAATCAAACATTAATTTAAAGAAACACTAATACTCAATACCTTATTATGTGCCAGGTATTATTCTAAGGGTTTTACCAGTATTAATTCATTTAATCTTCACTGGAACCCTATGACGTAGCTATTGTTATTACAGATAAATAAATTGTAGCATGGTTAAATAATGTGCCCACAATTATGTGGTTGGTAAGTACCACACACAAGGTTTGAATCCAGGGGTCTCACAACTGCAACAAGTTTTATAAATTCTCTTTAACAGCTCAAAAGCCAGAAATTTCTCTATTCTCAATGCTTTAGTTCAGGTCACCATTCCCTCTATTTTGGATTAAAAAACGGCCTCCTATCTGGGCTCAAGAATAACCCAATAATTCTCATATGGCCTGAGTGCTGTCTCTAAGCAGATATCTGATCATGACCTTCTTAAAACCTTTAAATACAATTCCCAATGTTCTGAGGACAAGACCTGCTGCTTCCTTTGCATAACTCTTCAGACCTTACATAACTGCTACTAATTTCTCTAGCAATATCTCTGGTCAATACACTTCCTGTTGTTCACACTCTAGGCATAATGAGCCACTCACAAATTCCTAGTCACATCTGATTGTATGTTGTTCTCTCTGCTTGAGAAAAATCTTTCCCCACTTCTTCCTACTTCTGCTTGTCCTTCAGACCTCACCTAAGGTTTATTTCCTCCAAGAAAATCTCCTTAACCTCCATCCCCCAGCTTCCTCAAGTCTATGAAGGATGCTGTATATCAGCCTATACTTACCCCAATATGTTATTTATCATACTGCTCAGTTACTTGAATACAGTGGTAATTTGAATGTCTTCCCCTTACATGATTTCCTTGTGAGGAAGGACTTTTATCTTCATATATACTACATGCCCATGCCAATACATTATATTAACATACAACAGGTAATTGATACTTTTTTATTTTGAATTGAGGAATGAATCCCAACTCTGCACTTATTAAAAAAACTAACAAGCAAGTCATTTAACTCTAGGCCTCAATGCACTCACCTGTAGAACTGGGACCATCTAACATTATCTCACAAGGCTATAATAGGAGACACTACAGTATATATACTCTGTAAACTGTAGAGTGCTACCCAACAGTGGTTGTCATAATCCTTTTTTATAAATGAAGAAACTGAGCACTTGCCCATTTGTCACTTAGTTTCTAAGTAACAAAGCTAGGATTTAAACTGATTCTTAGTCTTGGGCCTTTTACTGTATACCAGGCTTTACCTCATGATGATGTCACATTTCAAGTGTTACGAGAAGAGGTAGAAATAAACTACATATTTTTAGGTCTAACAACAAACAACAAAAACCATCAATTTGAAGACAAAATATAATTAAGCAACAGCCTGGCAGAAAAGAGGAAAATAGGTAATAGTGTCATTTAACACTTATAATGTGCTTTGTACAATAAAAGCATTGTTCTAAGTGCTTTACGTATGTTAACACAATCTTCACAACTATCTCATTATTATCTATATTTTATAGTTTCTACACTTAAAAAAACTTTACAATTCATTTCATTTTTTAAGAGAAAAAGAGCACAGTCTCATTTTCATGCTCGAAAACAGTCCTAGGAACAAACAGCTCTTTACCAAACAGCTCACAGTGCTAACACATTTTTTTCTGGTTTTGTACTCCACTCCCTGGTCCTAAACTCATTTTATCTTATTCTAAAGTGAGTTGCAATTGAGTCCCCACTTAAGTAAGTCCTTACTTAATGCCATCGATAGGTTCTTAGAAATTGCAACTTTAAGCAAAATGACTGTAAAGAAACCAATTTTCCCACAGGCTAACTGATATAAACAACAGTTAAGTTCCTACAGCATATTTCTGGTCACGAAAATGTTACCCAACTCCTAAATAAAGAACCACCAACACATTTCTAATATTAAATATTGAAATAAATGTGAGTTATACATACATTTAAGAAACAGTAATAAAAATAAGTCAGATAATTATTTTCCAGTCTGCTTATTCTAGTTCGGTGTTGTAGGTGGCCAGAGTCTATCCTGGCAGCTCACGGCCCAAGTCCAGGGAACCAACCCTGGACAGGACACCCTTCCATCTCAGAGTGCACTCACACACAATCCCACACCCATGCAGGCTGGGACAATTCAGAATCCGCCAATTCACCTAACATACACATCTCTGGGATGTGGAAAGAAACTAAAACACCCGGATAACACTCACACAGACATGGGGAGAAAGTGTAAAATCTACACTGAGACAACAGCCTCAGTCAGGAATCGATTTTTTTCCCCTCATTAATGTTATAATAAAACAATGTTGAATGAAAGGATGTTATTTGAGGACCTGCTGTAGTCTCTTACCTTCTGCCTGCAGAAGGACATCACAGAACACCCCACTCTGTTGCTGGTGATGAAGCTGCAGAAAAGCTAACCTGAGGAACCGGGGATTCCTATATAGGATTTTGGAACTAGCAGGAGAACACATGTTGGTCTATTAACAAAGCTAGGTTTTTACGGATCAGATTCCTGTGGGTGAGACATAATACATTTCAGAACCATGATTATAACTAATTTGTTTTTTGTTTTCGAATGGCAGGGAAATTTTGAAAAAGAGATAATAGCATGAGTTGGGAGCCATAAGCCCAGAAATTGTGCCAATGGTATTATGAAGAAAGAATATCGCAGTGGTTACATGTGGGAGCTCAGAGATACGCCTAGATTTGAATCTCAGGTAAATGACCTAACTTCTCTGAGTCTCACTTTTCTCATTTATGAAATGGGAATGATAACAGTAGTTACCTTGTGGGGTTGTTTTAAAGATTAAATGAGTCAATGCAGGTAAAATTGCTTAGCACTGTGAGTGCCTGGCATATAATAACTATTCCCCCCGCAAATGGTAGCTGTTATTATCCTTAAACCTTCCTCATTCATATTACTACGGAGACTCAACTCATTCAGTGCAGACTACTCATTCTTCCTGAGCACCACACTTCCAAGTTCCATGAGTATAATCCTCAATTCAATACTTAAGAAAAAATACTGATATAAAATTCTCTAGTAAACATACACACTTCTCTGAGCTCACTCTATCATAGTAACCAGCAGAGGGTGCACAGTAAACAAAAGAAGCTGCTGGACTTAGTGGGAAGGTCTTAAAACAGAAATAAGGACATTCCCACCCTTGGTTCAGAAGTTCTTGACCAAAGTGAGCTCAATTCCACCAGAAATTGGCCTTTAGGTTTGTCAGTCTGGTTGATGACCTGGCTAACAATGGAGCAAGAATAATTAAGCATTCTACCCCTCTCCAAAACAAACTGGATATTCTGACTTCAGGCTGACTACATTTCCAGCTTTTTGCACTGAAACCCCCACACTCACTGCACAGCTGATGTTCCTTTCCTGGCATGCAGTTTTCTGTCAGGTGGCACCGAGGATCCGAAGTGTTCACGTCAAACTATCAGAAAGAAAAGAGTGAAAAGGTAAACTAAGAAAGGGTAAATTCAATTTCATTCGCAGTCAGAGATGGGGTAGAAGCTGGCAGCTGTTGCAAGGGCCCAAACCAAGGCCATGGGGGAAGCTTCCCAATCCACTAGCACCCGGCCTTGTTCCTAGACCCAACCTGGACTAGATCTGCAGCAGGAGTTGTTCCTGCCGTCCTCTCTGTGCTTGGGTCTTCGGTCCAGCCCGACTGACTTCCTCTCAATGTTCAGCCTCGCGCGCGCGTGCGCGCGCACGCGGGGAGGATTACCAAAGAAAGAAGCACAGGTGGGCGAATCGCCCGAGGGTTCTCTAACCAACCAGGTCCAATGGAATCGGGATTGGCGTTGAAAGCAGGGTTTTACGGAAGGCCCTGCAAAGCTGAGCGCCTCGAACGCTCCAGGCGCCCTGGCCCAACTCCTTTGAAGAGAGACCCCTCGGCGCGAAGGTTTCTGGGAATGGAGCGTGGGGATCCCGGAGGCCCGAATTCAGGGTTCACTCTCACCACCAGCTCCGGCCGCAGGGCTTTTGCAGCCACCGTCCGGTGCCCTCGTCCCGCCGCGGACCCTGGCACCCTCATGCACCGAGAGATGGTGACAGCGAGGGCCTGAGGCCACGCGGCTGGCGCCACACACCTCGCGCCGCTACCCTCGCGCACAGCCCGTCGCGGGGCCGACGTCCTTCTTCCTCCTCAGCCCTCGGGCTTACGTCTGCCGGAATACGTCATTCTCATTGGCCGAAGGCTCCTGGGAGAGCCAATCACAGGAGGAGGAGCGCTTTGGGCGGGAGGCTAAGTCTCGAGGGACTTGAGAGCTGAGGAAAGACCGTCAGGCCGTGAGAGGTAGGGGGAAGGGCCCGTCGGGGAGGAATTCTAATGGCAGCCGGCTTCTCGCTCTGCACTCGATGAAAACACTCCAAAAAGAGGGTCAGGATCCTCCAGTCAGGCAGGCTTCAAGGCGGCTGAAGGACACCTCTGGCTTCTCTCTGAGGAGGCTGCAAATGGCCGCGGCCCTGGCTAAGAGCGCTCCGGCTTAATGGAGGAAAAAGCCCCTTGCACCTTGTCCCCCAAATCTCTCACCTATCTATCTCCTTAAGGCCAGGGATGTTCCGGAACGACATCGTTGGGTCAGTTTATGAATTTAAGATTTCCCCAGTTTCCACTCCAGCCCCAAATCTCAGAGAACTGGTGACTACGGGGGTTGCAGAACCGTCTGGTCTCCAGTGTCTTTCTAGAGCTGGTTTATTTAGTGTACTTCCTGACTGGAAATAGTAGTTTTCAGGGGTGATATTAAAAAATTAAGTAACCTCAAGAGTAAACATTTAGCGAGAATGCTTCCCACGATATCAGTCCGGACAGCAAGTCTTTCCCCTGTGTGCGTTAGGCCCCGGGTCCTGGAATCTGTTAGATGTCGCCTGATGTCCAGCTCTGACATCCAGCTCTGGACGAAAGTGACTGAATCCAAAGCCATTGACGACAAAGTGTGATGACTTGAGACGGGGCAGCCCCCCGCTGAGGCCAACTGGAGGCAGAAAAGGAAGCCTCCTGAAAGAAACCGAACCTGCAGAGGGACAAGACGTGGAGGGGTGAGTAGTTCGGCACATTCTAATATGTCTTCATTGGTATCTAAAACTTTTTCAAAAAGGATTCGAGGTAGTGAACTGAAATATGGGGGTTTGGGGTTTGGGCATTTTCAAGTCAGGTATTATTTTCCTTAGTTTGAGGCCTCCGCTTTTAAGATTGGAAAAGAAACAAGAGCATAAGTCATTTTCGGTTGCAGCTGTCGTATTTTGAAGAGGAAGCAATTTGTGAAAGGACATGAAACTTAGCGGAAGGACAGATTTTAGATGTTGTCCACAGTTCGCAGACACACAAAAGCAAGCACGCAAGCAAAGAGAAAAAAAAGACAAGGCAGAACAGTGCTTGTTATGGCATCTGTTACTGTGGAATCGGGATATGATTAGACAGGTGGAATACCACCAGTATAGTCATAGGTGATTCTGTGGAGTTCTAACAAAAATATAAATGTTCTGTCCCCTCATGAATATATCGTTATTGGGATTAGATTAATTTTCAAGAAGTAGAGAGGACTCACTTCTTGGTTGTTCTTTTTTTTTTAAATTTAATACCGTTTTAGTTAAATCTTTTGTTAGTAGAATTTCTAAAGGAGATGATAAATGGCCATCCCTACCTAAGACTTCAAAAATGACAAACTTTGGATGGTAATGTGTAGCCACCAGAGGGTAGAAAGGAGTAAAAATATTTTGTTTTCCTCTGTATGGATAGCCAGTGTTTTTTTGAAGTTGATTTTTTTTTTTTCATTTCTTCTCCTTGGCATTTGGAGTTTTAGTCTATTTTGGAAGTAGAGTTATAACAGCACAGCACTCTGCCCTATATAATAATTTTAATATTTATTTTTTTAAATACAAATTTTTCTTAGCTCTTTACTAATCTTTCACTGTTTAATGGTATCTTGCTTTTCTTTGTGTGTAAGTGGTACTGGTTATGGGTTGGGAAGTTAAACTTTGAGCATGTTAAAATCAACCATTGAAAGTAATAGTCCATGCATTTAAAAAAAAAAAAAAAAAAAAGGAAAAGGGAAAACCCCAAACAAAAAACAATGCTGTATCTTTAAACCTATCCTTAACCATTGACTTCTCCCCATTTTTACTGCCACCACTATAGTGAACTCCCTATCACTATCACTTGACTTTCAAACTAATTTCCTTGCTTTCACTTTTGTTCTCTCTTTAATTCATTTATCACATTTGTAGCCAGATCTTTTCAAAATGTGGGTTAGATTGTTATTCTGCTGTTTAAAACCCTCACATGCTTTCTCTACCTTAGAATAAAATCCAAACTCCTTTCTCTAACATATAGAACTCTTCATATTGATTCCTGCCTACCCCTCATTTCCAACAGCCCTGCTGAATTCAGTGTGTTTCAGTCCCACACTTTGGAGCTTTAGCATTAGTAGTTACCATTCCTCATATCTTCTTACGAGTGGCTGTTTCTTACCATTAAGATTTCAACTTAAATGTCACCTCTCCAGAGAGTTTGTCCAATCTAGAACAAACCACAAGCAGCCTCATCTATCTGTTTTAAATCTCTGCATAGTCCTCCATCTGACATCTTATTTATTAATCTTCTCTCTCCCTCTGCTAGAGTGTAACTTTTTGAGAGCAGGAAACTTGTCTGTCTCATTATTATTGACATTTACTAGAAGAGTACTTGGCTCACAGTAGGTGCTTAAAATAACCCAAGTGGGACTAGTCTTTTTACCTAATGAGTATTAATGCTTGTGATGCTTTATTTGGAGATAGCTGTTTCAGATAAATTTGAATTTCAACTTTTCACTGAGTTATCATTTTTATTTGTATATAATTTTATTTTGAATATTATCTACAAATTCATTTTTAAATGATTTGTTCAGGATTATGTAACTAGTAAGCCAAGAGACTTTGTTCATTCATTTATCTGTTGCTAAATATGAGATATAAGGCTGAGCTCTGGGGATACACTATGAACTAGAAATATATTGTTCCTGCCTTTGTGGAGCTTATCTTCTGGTGGGGGAGACAAAGAAACACACACACACACACACACACACACACACACACACGAAAAAGGAATGCAAAATACCTGCAAGCTGTTAGGGGTGATGTGAGGAAAACAAGACCAATCTATCTCTAGAACATAAACTTTTTAGCATACGGCTCTGATCTAGAAGCCAGCGAATCAACAAACATTTCTTGTGCTGACTATTTTCCTTTGGCAATCATCTTTGGCTTTTGAACTTGCTGTGGAAGAGCAGGAATAGATGGAAAGTAGAGGTAGAAGATGTGATAAGGTAATAGGAGAAGATTTGTAGATAATGAGAGTTAAAGGCTGTTCATTTCTCTGGTAAATGTATTCATTTCCCATTTTAGTTTGTTTAAAGCCCATCGAACAAGTGCTGTGATGCCTGTTAGGCCTTCTAGCACTTTTAAGAGAAGTCCTTTTTGGCCACTGTAGACCAAATATGAGGGTCTATGAGACTATAGACCAAATATGGGGTGGGGGATAGTGGCTAGATCATCCTGATAAGAAGGGCACATCCATGCTGAGGAGCAGAACTGGAATTCCAGTTTAGATAATGAGGGTGGGTCAGATTATGGTTAATAAGTGTTGCTTTAATATATTTAATGAATAAATGTGATACCTCGAAAACAGACAGGGATCTTGGTCTTTATCCTGATCAAAGTGTAGGATGATGGAAAGATCATGGGCTTTGGAGTCAGATTGTTGAGGGGTTCACTTCTTAGGCAGATAAGCATCTTAACCTTGCTGAGCATTGACTTCCTCATCTGTAACATGGTGGTAATACTATCTCTATGATGGTGTTTTAGAAATTACAGATGAGTGCACCATCAATGATGCTCCATCATTGGTTGGTATTATTGGGAGGTGATGAGCTAATGAAAGTTTTGGGGCAGGGTAGATATTGATAATAATAACTCATTCTTAGCGAGTTTATACTATGCCATACATTGTTTTAAGAACTTTATGTGTATTTTAATTCTCACAATAGTCCTGTGAAAGAGGTAGTTATTATCTCTTTATAGTTAAGGAAACTGAGGCACATAGAGACTATATAATTTGTCCAAGCTCACACTTACTTGAGTCAGTGTACTTAGAAAGGAGGAAGTCTATGGCCATGCCACCTTGAATAAGCCCGATCCCGTCTAATCTCGGAAGCTAAGCAGGGTTGGGCCTAGTTAGTACTTGGATGGGAGACCACCTAGGAAGACCAGGTGCTGTAGGAGTAACAAATAAAAATAAAAAATAAGAGATTGTAAGCCGACAAAGTCCTTGCAATCTGTGAGGTCAACCAAGGGTTGCCTCGCCTAAAAAAATAATAAATAAATAAATAAAAAGAAGGGAGGAAGGTTTGAAGCCAGGCAGTCTGACTGCAGAACCTATGCTCTTAATCACTATTCTAAATTATGAAAACTTTATGAAGATTTATTTGCTAGCAGTCTACTGGATAGATTTTAAATTTTTCAGTAAGAGAAAAAGGAAAATTTCAATTTATCATTATTACCTTCGATTAGTAACTCATAAAATACTAGTCTTTGTTAAGCATATAAAAAAAATGCGATCTCTGTCTTTTATGACCTAACAGTCCTAAGAACATATTAAGATAACTCAACTCAGAAAAAGAATACCTGCAAAATCCTTTATTTAGGTCAAGTGTAAAAAGAATGTATGAATTAGATCATCTTAAGCTTCAAGTTCACACACAAAAAAAGCCAATATTCTTGATGTGAGATTTATTTTCCTTACACAAGCTGTTATCTCCTCTAAATATATTGCCTGTTTATTGGATTACATGTATTCTGCCCCTCAAACCCACATTTAAATTTGGGGACAAATGGGAAGACAGTGATTTTCCTCAACACCCCATTCGATTCAGCTTCCTTCTAGTTAAAAGTACAAACATTAAGAACTGTTAACAAGTCCAGGCATTTATTTTTCTAATTAGCTCAAATGCAGTTAAACCAAAACAATGAAATTGAGAGTTTACCTCAGATACCCTCTATCATACCAATCAACACATAATAATCCTATTTTTAGGATTTCTCTCTTCCTCTCGTCCTATCTTCCTTTGGGAAAATGCTTTGGGGTAGAAAGCAACAAACCAAATAGCAGCAGGCAAATAAAATCAGCTCTTTTTTCTTTCAAAAAGAAAATAAGGGAGAGGGAGCAAGAACCCCACCATCAAAGAGAATCGACTCTTAGGTGTGCCAGTCTAAAATGCTCTTGTTTCTTCAGCCCCCTTGGAGCTCTGCAGTAATTCCTCAGAGATTGTATGGTCTCCACTTTAAATATAAATATATATATAAAAAACTTCCCTGGTTTCTCTCCTCCTCTCCTTTTTTTTTTTTTTAATTTCCTATAATAAAGTTTCCTATTGGATAAAATAGGCTCCCTGATTTATGCCTGGCTCCTATTGGAAGTTCTCAGGGACTGACATCACTTAGGAAAGCGAGGGGGTAGGGCTGCCAGATCAGTTTGTCACCACCCAGGCTCCCTAGCCTTTGGCTGGGTGCAACTTCCATTTTAGGTGTTGGATCTGAGAGAAAAAAAAAAGAGAGAGAGAAAGAAGACCAGGAAAGATCCTGAAAGGAGGAAGAGGTGGCCAAAAATCAACTACCTTGCTGGATTTGTCTTTCTCAGCACATTGACGAAGCCTTGGGTTTCTTTCTTAAAGGACTGGTTTTTAGAAGTCCACATTTGAGGTGTGTGCCTTTTTTTAAAAAATGTGTGTACAGACGGGTAAAGGAGGATAAGCCAAGTCGAATTTTTGTGTTATGGTAAGCAGAGAGAATTCAAAAATGAGAGAGTCTGCTATGCTGATGGGTAACTTTAAAGCCGTTATTATTTCTACTGACATGGGGGAATTGTTATGCTGAAAAGTAAAATATTCAAGACCCAGAAACAAACTTCTAGGTCTCTCTGTTAGAGGAAGATGAATAGATTCAGAGGGGTGAGAGCAGTTTTGTAAATTTACATTTTGGTATGTTCTTTGATTTTATATATTTTTCTGGATTATGCTAACAAACTTCTGTTTTCAGAGCCCAAATCAAAGGTTGGTTTTTTTTTTTTGGCATGTTGCATGTGTGTTGGGAAAGGAATTTGCCCGAGTCGGAAGCTAATTATACATATGGTTCTTCATACGTTTCAAAACTTTTATTTCTCCCTTTTATCGTTAGGTTTGTGGAAGTGGAAAGTTGCAGGGAGCTTTGTAGCTTAAATGGTGGTGTTTTTTTTCCCCCGAGAGAGTTTGAACAGCCCAGATCGGTTTCTGCCCTGCTGTTCTGGGTGGATCCCTTTTTTACTTTTCCAGGTGTGGTGGGTGGGAGCCTTATTCTCTGACTAGACGTTGCCTCCCTGCTTTGCCTTATAAAAGAAAACAGATGGATCCATGTTATCTGAATTGTAATCCCCTTTTCTTCTAAAACTACCTTAGTTGGCAAAGGTTTGTGGAGGTGTTGTATATGTTCGATCTGCAAATACGATAACGTTTGGTTTATGTGCTAAAAAAAATAAGGAAATTCTAATCATGCTTTTTAGTTCACCTGAGTAAAGTGGCAACACCTGAAAATATTTTCAATTTTGTTTTCTCTTAAAGGGCCATGGATTAAATAAGTTTAGGCTAAGAGAAAACACTTATACAAACTTTAGTGTATAGTATGCATTTGAGAAAGCACAGGGAGAGTTCTTATTTTAAACCAAACTGAAAGTTTTTTTGGAGGTGAGTTTTTTGTTTGCTGTAAAATCAGAAATCTGTAAGAGCTGTGTTTTTGTATCTTATATTTAATCTTATCTTAGGATTCATTTTGTTTTTGCAAATGCATTCTTGCAAAAATACCGATTCTAGATAATTATATAGCCAACTCATCAGTAGCTGAAAACTGGGCGTTCTCTTCCTTCTCTCTTTGAAAATGCGAATCAGTCTGAAAATTATAGCTGGATTAGATACTGCCCTAATTGTAACAAGATGGGCCTTAATATGTAAGCTGCTCATTAGCTTCAAACTGATATGTATCTAGAATCTCTGATTTTTTGTGCGCCTCCCCCAATTCTTTTTTAGACTAGAACGTTTCCTTGAATTTCTTTTCTAGAACTGAGTATTTCTTGAAAGATGATTTCATCCTTGTGAGGTTGCGGCTTCATTGGAAACTGAACTTTGTTCCTCCTTTTAATCTATGCAAGGTCTACAGTAAGATTTTAATGTCTGGCTCTCATAATGATAGCAAGTGCAGTTAAAAAGAAAGAAAAAAGACAATGTGTATAGTCTCTTGGGTTGTAATTCTTATTTAATATTTTCCAATTTTTCTTTCAATGTTCTCTGCCTTGACTCCAGCCTAAGGAGGGTTCTTGGTGGATCTTTCAAGGGTTGGTCATGTTGCTGCGAGAGTGTCGGTTTCCCACTCAACCTTTAGGGGGAGGGATGAGAGAATCTGAAGAAGGAGTACAAAGGCAGTTTGAAAATAGGTTCTGGATGACTGACTGGTGGTGATTTGGGTCCAGCTTTAAATACTGGGCTTTGTGTAGCTGCAGTGAGCATCCTAGTTAACTGTCGTCCAGGACTATTTCTCTGAACTGAGGCGTTGTTTTGACTGGTATGTACTATTCAGCGAGCCTTTTGGATTATAAGATGGAAGATTTGTCTTTTACCTCACCTCTACTGGTTCTTTCACAAAATGTAATAAGGGGTGAGAATAAGTAAATCTTTTATTTTTTGTTTTGCTCCTCATTTTGGTTTGGGGGTAAAAAATGACAAGTAAGTGTGAGTTGTACAGATTTTTCTTTCCTTGTTTGACTCCTATATAGTGTTGGTTTCTTTGTTATATGACTAAGATACGGTCTGTGTTCCAGGTGGGGGCCTCTTGTGGGTGGTTAGAGTTCTAGTGCCTTTCTTAGGGTTCCAATTACTGAAAGTCAGAGAGGCTTGAACATGTTCTTTCAGCTAGTATAAAAATTGGAACTATTGGAAATCTTTAAAAAAAAAAAAAGCTCCCAGTAATTGCAATTCATCCTTAGGTTTATGAGATAGATGCTCTCCAGGGATGGGTGCAAATAAATTAAGCATAGGTCATTATTCAATTGGAATAACAAAATGATTAGCTCTGTATAATTTATTGCTTTCTATTTTGGTATCTGATGGTCCCCTGTTACTGCTAGCCTCTTCCCCCTTGATTTTTTTTTACTGTGTGCTAAGCATTTTGCATAAACTATTTAGTTTCCCACAACTTATTTTTTGTTTTGTTTTAAAGGAACTTGAGCCTTAGAGAAGTTGAGGTTTGCTGAAAATCTCACTGCCCGTAAGTGGCCAAGGCCAGGGTTAAATCCTGGTCTGACTAACTACAAAGTCCATGGACTTAACCACTAATACACTGCCATTCTCCAGAGAGAATGGAAAAAAGAGCCTGAACTAAAATGAGCCCTTGCTAGAGGCAAGGGTGCTTCATCTTGCAGAGGGTCAGTCCTCGCTTAGATTTCCAACCCCCTCCATGTTGGAATAACCTATGTGAAAAATGCATTTTCTCTAAAGCCATGTGGAGCTGGATATGCTAGAATGGATATTTCAATCTTTAGATGGGGATCTTTTGATATACACACCATTGCTGTCCTAATTTCTTAAATTTCGGGCATGTGGTTTGGAATGATATTGCCATCTTGCAGGGCAGAGGCTTGTGGCAGGTAGTTCAAATAATGTTTACCACACTATTAAAATTGTCTATTTTTGTCTTTCCCTCTAGACTATGAGCTGCTTGAGTGTAGATACTATCTTTGTATTCTCTTAGCACTTATGTTAGTGTGTGGTATATACTGAGGTGCTCAGTAAGCCTTGATTAAATAAGGCTCTTGATGGGAATGAGTGCGGGAGCTTTTTGGGGAAGGCTGAAGGGAAATTGAGATAGGAAGCAATATCACATAGATTAATAAAATTGCAATGTAATTTTGAAACTTACTGTAGTCTGTAGTTTCAACCTTTGACGTATCTCCCGCCTCCCATTTTTAAGTAAAGTTTCTGGAAATATTGAAGATTTTAATTTTTAATTTTTCTTTAATCTTGTTTCCTTTCTGGGCAGGCAGTCCAAAGAATTGTATAAAAGAGTACCGAGTCCTAGTCAGTTCATTTCATTATATATGCAACTGTTAGTTTCAACCACTGAAACCTTAGTATAGCCAGTTCTAGGGGAAGTGGAATTGCTTACCTAGAACAGGTGTGCCCAGCCCCTGCACTGTGAACCAGTACTCTTCTGTGGCCTTTTAGGAACCGGGCTGCATAGCAGGAGGTGAACGTGCAAAGCTTTATCTGTATTTGCAGCTGCTCCCCAGCACTAGCATCACCGCCTCAGCTCTACCTCAGATCACCAGGTATTAGATTCTCATAGGTGCACCGGTCCCTGATGCAAAAAAGGTTGAGGACCACTGACTAGAACATATATTAGAGCAGCAGCAGGGAAGTGAGTACTGCTTTCAGCTGTGTTAGAAGTGAGTGGTTTTTATACTTATAAATAAAAACATAAAAAGCTTGGGATGATAGTTTGAATATCAATGTTTCAATGAAAGTGTGTTTGAATATCATATTATTTTGTCACTTGCCTCCATGAAACATCAGGAGATTTTGTTCACAAAGTGTATTGGGAAGTTTATAAGAACACAAATTAATTTTCATGGACAATTCTGAATGATAGTAACAAGAAACTTGCCTAAAGGAATGAATCATAGCAGTATGTTATTTCATTTATGTTATCTTTCCTCTCAAAAGGGGTTAAATGCCATGAGAAGTTGAAATAGAGATTGCTTTTCCTAAATGCAGCTGTCTCCAAGGTTTCCAATAGAGAGCATTGAAATAGCCTGGCAGGGAGATTGTAAGGGGAAGGGGAAGGAGCAGGAGCGGGGGAAACAACTGTTCTAGTTAATTAGTGGTTAAGAGCATGGATGGTTAAGGATGGATGGTTAGCATAGTGGTTAAGAGCATGGAACCAGACTGCCTGGGTTCAAATCTTGTTCTGCTACTTATTAGCCCTGTATCCTTGGGCAAATTGTTTAATTGCTCTATGCCTTAGTCTCCTTGTCTGTAAAATGAGGACAGTAATATTAACCATCTCATAGAATTGTTGTGGCTATTAAGTGATTTAACTTTTGTAAAATTCATAGAACAGTGTCCAGGTTATGGTAATACTTTCTGTATGCTCTTAGAATGGATGCTTTAAATGAATTCAAACATCATTTGTCTGTTGGACTAAATGCCCTTTAAACTCTCTTAAAACCTGAGACTGTGGTAGATATAGATGCTTATATTACAGAATAAATGGGCTTCCTGGATGGATAAGCTAACTTTTTTTTTAATGGGGAAAAAATGTCTTTAGTATTAGGCAAGTTTGGGGAGTTGTGTGAGCATGGTTGTCCAAAATAAATGTGCTTTGGGAATGGATAACTTTTAATGAAATGAGTACGAGAAACAGGTGGCAAAGCTTGAATATCTTACAGTAATTTCTTCAGAGACTTGATTACTTAAAAACAGCAATACAAATTTCTTCCACTTTTTTGTATCGTTAAGAGATAGAACTCTAGCATTCTAAGGTAAACTTTAGTTTTGGCAGAGAATGGATTGAAAAAGCTTTGTTTGGATTTATTATTCTTGACTTTGAACCAGATTCTTTACCTTGAAGTCTCACTTGTCCAACCAGGATTTTGTAGGATAACATTCCATTATGAGTGGTTTTACAGGAAACAATTACATAGAAATGAAGGCAGGCTTTTACTATCCCTTTTTTTTTCCTTGAAATAAACCTCC